TTGACTGCTAACCAGAAGGCTTATGGTTCAAACCCATCAGCCACTCCTCAGAAGGATGACTGGGCAATCTACTTCTGTAGCAATACTGCCCCGGAAACCCAAGGAAGGCTTGCTATGAGTTGGAATCGACTCAACAGCAGTACAGCAGTGAGTTTTTTTTTTTTTTTCTTGATTGTATCTACATACAACAAAGCTAACATGGCCTGAAAAAAGAAACCTGAACTGTGTGTGTTAGTGTGTATGTGTGAGAGAGAGAAGAAACATGCAGATAAATAAGCTTTTTCACGTGGACTTTTATGAAATGCCTTTGAAGGACTGGCCCATATAATGAGACTGGGGAATTTGGGATTTGACCCAATATATATATGTATCTACATATGTGACCAGGTGATTAAAATAGTGTTTACATTTCAAGTAGAAAATTGAAAAATATAAATTAGTATAAGAAAATTATTAGGTAATATTTCTTTTGTAAAAGAGAGCTGGCATAATATTATTCAAAATATTTTATATTCTTTCAAGGAGCAGATACCACAACATAAAACTTGAATAAAAGTTTTTTATTTGTAAAGAAGACAACACATTAGTCTATTTGAAATGCTATTAAGAAAAAATAAATTAACTAAAAGCAATTATTTCATTAAACATTCATGTTTTCTTATTTCAAGTGGACCAGGAAACTCTTGGGAAAAAATTATGTTCAATTTTAATTGAACCTCTGTTGCTTACCTCAACGTATTTGGGGGTAAACACATCACATGGACTCTGGAGCTAGACTGTCTTGGATTGAAATTTTGCTTTTCTGCTTACTAACTGTATACCTCTCTGCTCTTTTTCTAACTTAGAAGTTCCTCAATTCAAGCACTAAGGTTTGCACTAAGGATTAAATATATTCACACATGCAAAGTGCTTAAAAAAATGCTGCCTGGTACTCTTAAGTGGAGAATAAATCTTGCAATTATTAAAACACTTTTCAAAAACAGTATGGTGTCTTGAAATCTTCAAATTCTCCACCCATGCACATCATCCTTAACATGTTCTTTGTTATTTTGTATGTTGTTTGTTTGTTTGTTCTATTTTATTGGTAACCTTGAGACCAGCCATAATCTGTCTTCTCTTCCTTATACCTCTTACTATTACTGGAATTTTCACTTGTTATATTCCAATTTTGACTGAACAATCTGTAATCTAAAGAGCATGTTAAAACTGGAGACTCTTTAAATCAGAGTGCTTGAGTTCAAGCTCAATGCTATCGAAAACTGGCTGACAAATTAAGTATAATGCTTAAGTACTTGATTGTGCTATGTCAAGTCAATATCTTCACGTGGACAAGAATGATAACAATATCCTCAAATTTTCTTGGCTATTGTGATAAATATCTGATAATCCCATAAGACTTTTAGCCCAAAGCCTGTTACCTATTAACAGAAACCAACCAATAATTCTTAGCTACTTCCATACAATTTGGTGATTTCAAATGTCACTTTCTCCTTTCTATGGTTCCTTCCCTCCATAAGGACCAAAATTCTTCAGTTGTGTTCTTTCCCTTACTCTTATTTTTCTCCTCAACTTTTCCTATCTGCATCCCTGACGATGTTAAAATTCTCAATTCCCTTAAACATTTAAATAAATAGATGTATTTCTCCTTTACTTCCATCTAGCCACTGCTCTCCGTTTTTCTTTCCAGACACAAACTTTTTCAACAGCAGATTCCATTCCTTGTTTCTACTTCTTCAGCAGACAATCAATACCAAAACTGGGACCTTTGTTAATTAAAGTGCAACTGCCATGAAGCTAAAAAGTCTTGTCCTGTTATATTTGATATCTTTCTCCTTTTCAGATAGAACTTAATTTGCATAGAATTGAAAATTATATCCCATGTTTCTTAAGACAAAATTGTTTTTGGTCAGTGTATGAACACTCTTCTTCCTTTATTTTATTTTCATAATTATTTCATTGTTTCTCCTTTGTTCTTTATTCTATGACTCACTACACTTAACCTATAGATTTTTACTAAGATGGTTTCAGTGAAGATTGGATTTCTTCCTTCAATGTCATCAGTTCTTGATTATATACAACCTTCAGAAATGGATAAATGCTGACAAATTCTTTTTGGTACAGTGACCTGTACTTCTTCTATCTTCTTTTGATGCTTTCTACATCATTCAATATTTTGCCCTTAGAATTTTTCAGCATTGCAACTCAAGGCTTGAAGTTTCCTTCACCTCTTTTGGCTTGATAATGCTGAGTGTTTTCTCCACTTTGGTCTTCTAACTCTAGGTCTTTGCACATTTCATTACAATACTTTACTTTGTCATCTCAAGCTGCCCTTTGAAATCTTCGGGTTAGCTCTTTCACTTCATCCTTTCTTCCATTTGCTTTAGCTACTCTCCAAGAGTAAGTTTCAGTCTCTTCTAACATCTATATTCATCTTTTCCTGTCTTTTTAACAATCTTTTACCTTCTTCATGTATGATGTTCTTGATGGCATCCCACAAGTCATCTGGTCTTCAGTCATTGGTATTCAATGTGTAAAATCTATTCTTCAGATTGTCTCTAAATTCAGGTGGGATATATTCAAGGCTGTAATTTGACTTTAGTGGATTGGCATTAATTTTCTTCTACTTCAATCTAAATTGCAGAGGAGCACTTGATGGTCTGTTCCACATATGGCTCCTGGTCTTGTTCTGACTGATGATATTGAGCTCCACCATCATCTCTTTCCACAGATGTAGTCAATTTGATTCCTCTCTATTCCAACCTGGTGAGGCATACTTGACATTTATGTTGTTGAAAAAGTGTATTTGCAACGAATAAGTCATTGGTCCTGTAAAATTTTATCATACTATCTCTGTCCCCATTTCTATCACCAAGGCCATATTTTCCAACTAGCAATGTTTCTTCTTTGTTTCCAACTTTCACATTCTAAT